AGACTCCTAGAAAAATTACAGGAATAGCAGCAATGACAGAAATAGCAGAATAGATTGTTGCAGACTCCAACTCTAACATTTGACACTCAGAAAATTTTAAATTTTAAGCTTACTTTTTTTTCTGATAATCTTCTATTTCATGTATAAGAAAGATTTCAATCTCTGCTTTTTCTTTATGTTTGTGCGTCTGACTTTTCCTTTTCCAGTGAAAGAGACAACCTGTCATGTTTGTAACCAGGTCCATAATTTAAATTTAAAGTCTTTAAATTCTGAAAGCCTGGAGATCTTGAAGTTTAGTATTTTGCAATTACACTTAACAAGTTAGCCCATGCCTGCAAAACAAATAGAAATATCTATTTCGTAATTTATTGACACTGAAATGCAATGAAATTGCATAAGGTATGTGAATCAATCTACCTAAATATTTACTGCTTTAATGAACTCTGAATTTATGGGTGTGCATATTGAAATGAGGTAATTATTTTAAATAGCACCTATATATTTTTAGCTACAGAGACTGTGAAATTACATTTCCTTAAATCAACCCGAGGCTTGTTTGTATGGGTTGAGAACGCACCACAGGCTGCTGCAGGGCAGGGCAGCAGTAAGGAAGCCAATGCCAGTCTTGTTTCCACTCTGCTGTTGTGGGCTGGGGAAGGCAGAGAGATGAATTTCACACCAATGTGAATGCTTGATTGGAGTGTTCTGTAAAGTGGATTATTTGAATTTCACTCCCTGCAGCTTGTGAAGAGCAGGCTGCACCACCTGAAATGTAGGCTGAGAGGGACCTCTGGAGGTCTTCCAGTCCGACTTCCTGCTCAAACCAGCGCTGACTTCTAAGGTGAATAAGATTGTCCAGGCACTTGGGTTACACAAGCTTTGAAAATCACCAAGGATGGACATTCCACAGCCTCTCTTACTTTGATCGTGAAGTATAATTCTTCATAGCTGGCTGGAAATTCCTTTGCTGCAATTTCAGATTACTGTCTCCTTTCCTTCCACAGTGGACCTTTGGAAAAGGTCTATCTCTCTAAGCCCCCCTGGAGGCACAAAAGGCAGTGGTTAGCTCTCCCCTTTTGCAAGCATAAAAAAAAGTCTGTTCCTCCCCTGGATTTTCCCATTTGAAATATATTTGTTGTGTTGCTTGTGAGGCTCAAAAGTAGTCTTGTTGTTCCAGAAGTTTCCTTATGATGCTGAGTAGAAAGAAATAAACACTTTGCCTGCTGGCTAAGCTGTTGCTAATGCAGCTGTGTATGTGGTTTGTCTGCATTGCTGCAAAGAGATACTGCTGACTCATGTTCAGCTTCTCCTTCAGATCATTTCCTACAAAGCAGCAATACAGACAGACAGCTCCCAGCCTATCGGAATGCACGAACTTATTCCCTCCCACATACAGGGGTATATTTGTCTCAGATACAAGAAAACTTCTGGTTATTTTGGCTTAAATAGATTCACAGTTAAATTGCCATCTTCTTTGAGAAAGAAAAAAAAACATCAAAACTTCAGCTGAACCTAATTATAAATATTAATTTACTCTCTGTTGAGCATTTTGCACTTTTTAGAATTACATCATAGCAAAGAGATTTTTATACAGAAAAGGCATTAACAGCTGTTGATTTGGGTTATATGGCCAGGCAATAAAAAGGATATTTGGAGTGTGCAAGTTTGAACAGCAAGCAGACTATAAATACTCTGTACTCTGCACTGCTTAGATGGAAATGTACCAAGGCTCAGGCATGCCATTTTATGTAAATAATTAATTCTTCCAGAGAGTTGTTACAGGTTTCCTAAAATGAATACACTGTAACACTGTTAGAAGGGCTTAATTAATTTATTCACTGTTGCCACAGTTATCAGGGATAGAACATTAATATCAAGTGGATTTTTTTTTAACTCAACATGCTCTCAGGTGGTTGCTTCAAATGCCAGTGATAGCCAGATCAAAGCATGTATGTTCTCCTACCTCCTCTGCTTACAGACCAGGCTTCTTCCTTCTTTTGTGTTTCTTAGCAGAATCCTGGTATGCATCCTCCTAGACAGCATCATTAGAAAGTGGGGCTGCTTGGGATTCATACTAACATTGTTATCCAATAATTGAAGTAGGAATTGAAATTCCTCTGTGTGTGGTTTGTTTTTTTTTAATATTATTTATCTGTATCCATTTATATCAACAGTAAATTTATTACGACTGGACTGGCCTGTCCTTTGATGAAAAATTAATACAATAGCATTTGTACTTTGAGATAAGTACATGCTAATAGATGGATGAAAAAAGCTAAGTGAATGTATCACAGGTTTTCACCCAGATATTTAAAAATTGATGAGGACCAGATTCTGCCCTGGTTATGATCTTGCTGTATGATAATTTCAAGAAGGTCACAAGGCTTTCCTCTGTGTGTGTGTTGGGGGGAAATTGTTTTCACACAGAACATTACTCCTGAAAGAAATAAGCACTCTATTTACACTTACAGAAGAGTTCTCAAGTCTTCCAGGAAATCTGTTTGAAAACTATTTACAGTATTAGTATGCAAATTATATGCTACACACTAAATGGGATTCTTGCAGCAGAGCACTCTGACAGGCATCTCACTATTTGAACTATGGTAGTACAGTTAAAAAAACAACACAAAAAGAAAACACAGCTGGACATAATTGTATTCAAACACATACTTATTATGTTAATGAGGGCATACAAATAAAATTAAATGTTGTCCACCAAAGGTTTTCCCACAAGGACTGAGTTATTTTAGCAAAATGTTCACATAATGCAACTTTTGGTGTTTATTTAAATTGAAAAGGTGTTTGATATTTATTCCTAAATATTGACAGATGAAATTTGGGAACATCAGAAAAACAATAAAACCCATCTTGTATGACGTATAATTTAATAAATACACTTCCAGTCATTTAATTTAAATCAAATTATGAGAATGGTATTGTATATAGGTAGTGATACATGTGTTAAGCTCCTGTTGTTACCCCAGGTTGTCAGAGTAGCTGATACCCCCTTTAGCCACCTCCCCTTCTGCACTGCAGCTGCCTGATGCTTCCCTGCCTCTGCCTTCCTGGGGCTGCTCTCCTGACAGCTTCTCTTCAGTCCCACCCTGGTCCAGCTTCTCCCCCACAGCCTCTCCTGTGTGCCCCTGCCGGGCAGCTTCCCCCCAGTGCCAGGGCTGTTCAACAGCCGGGTGTCAGTGAGAGCCCACTGAGTGCTGCAGGAGTCACTGCTGGGTCGGGCTGCTTTGGCCCCAGCCAAAGCTTTGCCCCTGTTTCGTTTCTAAAAGTCTCCCAGAATTTCTTGTCCCCATCGCGTAAATCTGCACAATTCTGGCATGTAATTTACCCAGGCAAGTTGCAAGATCTGCCTGTACCAATTTACTGCTGGTGGGCTTGAATCTTTAAAAATAAGGGGCTTTAGATGAGGTTTATGCCTTTTTTTTCTCCCACTCCATTTTTAGGACATGCTTTTAAAAAACCATAACTGAAAACTGAACAAATAACAGTTTGTGCCTTATGTAAGTGTGCCTGCTATCCAAATTGTTACATTCAAAGGCCATAGATGTTGTTAAAGCCCCTGCCTTCTTCACTGCCAGCTGCTGCTGTAATCTTAAAGTAGATGCACTTGTTTTTTTTAAACTTTATATCAGTTTACTGCCTGGGAAGTAGTAGGGGAAAAGCAAGGGAAATTGCTTTCTGCTTTTAAATTGACCATCATGCAGAAGTTTGTATTTTTCAATCTGTCTTTTTCTTTGAGATTTGCAAGTTATTTCTGAGTTTAAAATCCCACATTTTTCTTCAGAAGCACAAAGATTACCATCCCAATTCCAGTGTGTCAGATTCAGTCTTAAGAATATTGTCTATTTTTACCATTAGCAATGAGGAACTGTTTCTACTTCGAATGTTATATGATCAAATGTGCGATAATTTATTACTTTAAAATAGAAACTTATTTATTTATTAATTGACAAACACCATACTGGATCTAACAAAATCTGTCTGTTGTTTAGAATATTTTCCAGAGGCAAAGTACCACTGCTCTGTTTAATGAAAGCTAGTTTTTCTTAGCTATATAAGAAATTCTTAACCTATATAAAAATTCTTAAAATTTTTGTCTTATTAAATTTCCAGTCACATAAAGCATTTTCCATTATGATAAGAAGGCAGAGGTTGTATCATTACAGCAATAATAAGTCCAGCTTGGTTGTTGGGCAAGTAAATTCAATACCTAGCTTCTTCCATTAAAAAAACCCCAACCTACTTTCACTAAAAATCAGATCCCACTAGGGAGCAGATTTTGTAGTTTCCACTCTGTCAAATGTAATCTCTCGAAAATCAATAGATAAAACTCACCTGAGAGCAAAACACTTATTATTTGTTTCCAGCAATGGGTAAAAAACAGATTTACACATAGATTTTGTACTTAGAGGGAAGTGTCAAAGGAAGATGAATTAGGGGAAACTTGAGTACTTGTGTGCTTTGGGAGGCCACAGAGTTGTGAGAATGAACCACTGAAACCTAAATCTGATGTGTTGAGAGTAATTTTATTTAAACTGTTAGTCTTCTGGTTAGGCTGTAGAAGAATGTTTTGTTGTTTTGGTTTGGTTTTTTCCCTTTCTTTTCTGAAGAAACAAAACCCATTTTGGTACCTTTTTTAATTATTATTTTGTTTTAAAAGAAGATCCTCTTTAAAAATTGACCCAAAACCAGATGCTCCTGAAGAGAGCCTGAGGTTCACAGCTGAGGTGAATATTGCACAATTCTGTTTATTTTGTCTCATTAGGTCAGTCATGCTCCTTAGAGGGATAGCTAGAATGTAATGAATGGCTTTCTTGGCAAAACCAAAGCATAAACTGAATTGTTTCCATTATCTTGGCAAATTATTTTATTTCAGTGTCATGGTGTGGAATTTATTTTTCAGTCTTGCACACTGAAGAGGAGTAGGTCAGAGAAGTTCCTTCACAGATTTAGCCTTTTGCTTTCCTTTCTCTTTCTTTTAATAGCCTGGCTGTGTAAACACTACTGAAGTGGATATAAAAAAATCTTCAAGAATGAGAAATCCACATAAAACAAGAAAGGTAAGTATGGTTATTATGTCAAAAGCAGGAGGTGGAGGAAATTTATAGAATGAATTTCCATAATTTATTAAAACACTTTTTTTCTTACAGCTGCAAGGAACAAATGCATGAATATATGTTAATATTTCATAAGCTCTTAGTTGAGCAAATTTGCTAATGCTAATTAAGTGCTATCACGTAAGATTTTGGAGAAATACAAAAAGATTTTGAAGTTAAAATTCATTTTTGCATGCTTTATTCATGTTGTTTAGTAGATTGAATAAAGCATGTTAAAATGTTTCTGTCAGTAATTAATGAAAAAAAAAAATTAAATTCAGCGTAAACTCTAACAGCAGTTCTTGTCCTGGTCTTAATGAAAAGGGCATCTCTATTTCACAATTATGCCCCAAATGGATGACTGGAAATTATGGAAGAAATTAGCTCTATCTAAATTAGGTTGTAATTAGAGTGTAACTTCTCTAGGGATGTACAGATGGATTGGCTCAACACTTCTAAATCCTTTGCACCATAACCATGTAGATTGACTCCGACCTTAAAGTACTTCCTTTGAGGTGCATTTGCATGTTGACCCATAGAAAAGGGTGTTTTAAGAAGGAAAGTGGATTTAGAGAAAGTTTTAGCTTGGTTTATCTGTGGTAGTGAAAGGTCCAGATTAGTGTAATTTACCAGACAGTAGTTGCAATTTTGGGAATCATCCAAATAATCCATGTGTTAGTGTACCTCTTGGGATACTCCATCTACCAGTCATCTCCCCTTACTGTAAGAGCATCTCTCAGTGTCATTCCCCGTGTTTACTATGATGCTAATATAGAGACCTAATAAAAGTAGATCCTAGTGTGTGGCTTTATGGAATTGGGGGAGTTTAGGAGTCTTTATTTCACATGCTAGTGCAGAAGCACGATTTTATCTGAGTGCATGGGTTATTGCAGTTTCTTTAGGGAAAGATGATCTTGTCTAACTTCTTGAGCAAAATGTACTAAACCATGACAGTTACTATGAGTGTGTGTAGAAAGCATAGTCTGAAAGCAACCATCATTGTTCCATATTTTTTTGCATAGTCTGTCTATGGCTTACAAAATGACATTCGAAGTCACAGCCCTACGCACACGCCAGTGCCAGAGACTAAGCCACCCACAGAAGATGAACTGCACCAAGAGGTTTGGAACGTAACTACAAACATGTGCTTTTAAATGAACCATTTAGGAAATAACTTTTTAGATATAAACCCAAAAAGTATTGTAACTGGGAAGTTATTCAAAATGGCTGTTGCAAACATTTAATAAACCTTTTCCTTGTCTCAAAGTATATGGATTTAGGCATCTAACTTCATCAAAACTAATGAGCTAAAACCTTTTTGTATCATGCATTAAACACTTAAAGGTAGTGGGAAGTAGGCCAGTGAGTGGGTTAATTGTATAGCTAAGCCCATTAGCCCCTTCAGCTGTAGACAGCTTGCTCTTCTTTCAACACTGATTTGAGGCTTGGGGTATACTTACCACTACATGTGTGCATGTATAGGTTCACACACTTATCTGCTGTTAAAACCTTGTTAATCTTTCCTGAGATGTTAGAGTCTGGAGAAGGTAAATGTCTGAAGAAGTATTAGTTCTCCTCAAAAATCTAAAAAAAGGATAATTGGATTTTTGTTGATGAACCTTTAGGGAAAATGTTATATTGGACACATTTTTTGTCTCTGTATGATCTTTTCTCTTTAATGGAAACTTCCACTTATTTTAGAGCCACACTGGTGAAATGTTGTTTTAATTCAGATATATTTCTCTTCTGTGCCCTAGGATAAATTAAGGTTCAATTACAGCCCTAATAAAAAAAGTTATAGAAATAGAGTCAAGCAATAAATTACTCATAAAACTCTTTGCCTTCTTTTCTTGCAGATTAAGCACTGGCAAATGCAATTAGACAGACATAGATTAAAAATGTCAAAAGTTGCAGAGAGGTACGTATATTGTCACATTTTCTATTTTTTTCAATTAGACTGATAACTATTGGGGAAAATGTCAGTATGAAATAGCTTCAAAGAGCTATTCACAGGAAATAGCTTTTCAAAGAGAGACATGGGAGCTCAGATGTCATAGAAATAACTGATGAGAGTTTACTTTAAGTGAAGAAGTATGAAGTTCTTTTAGTGATAAAAATATTCCAGATATTTCATGATATATTTCTGATAAACACAAGTCACTGAAAGAGCCTGTGACCAAATGATCACAAGTTTCACCTTTCATTGGCAGGGAGGCTACATGGGAATAGGTCTGGGGTTATTGTTCTGATATTTCAGAAGGGCAATCACTGATGAAGCAAGGGAACTTGCTGGTGTGGAGCGCAGTCAGTGGCTGAACAAAGTGAGTTTGGGCTCAGTTTGGGTCAGAGATGTAACACTAGTAGGAATCTATTTCCAAATAAGACCAAAATTTGTCAGGAACGGGCTAGAAAGCAAATAAAACAAAAAGCACAACATTGAGAAAATCGAGCTGCATAGGGCATAGTAAAGGAAATAAAGCCAAATACAAATTGCTCTTCATATTTTCATAAACGTTTGTGCATATATGTCTACTTATATATCTGTGTGTTTGCATACATATGCAAATACATATAAATATTTATTTATAAAGAGAGCAGGTTAAGATTTTTTTTGTTTGCTGAACAGTAAAAAATATAATGTACGCTAAATATAATAGGAATTGAAAAGAAAGAGTAGTTGTCCTCACTTGTAATTAATTTTACAAAAGTTATGAGGCTAAAGGAAACAGCAAGCATAAATAAGGAAAATGAAGATGTAAATTACCAGAATACGAGCAAAGTTTTTAGTGTGTGACTGAGTCAGACCAATTCCCGAATATTAAAAAATGGTGGAGAAAAATTAATTTTGAAATAATAAACCTGGGAATAGTGTCCTTTGATTAGGAAAGAATAAAAATATTAATTATATTTAATAGGAAATACAAGCAGTACTAGCAGCTGCAGGGCCAATAAATATAACCTGCATAATATTCAGTGTTTAAAACAGATTTTAAGAAAACACATGATTAAAACCACAGGGATATAACACATGTTCCTTTATGGAAACAAATATGCATGGAAGAGGTTGTATGATCTAATTTATTAGTGCCTAAAGAAACCTTAAATGGAGCTATGTGAAAGTATTAGGGAATCTTATTTTATTTCTATTCTTGGTAGACCTGAGTCACCCCTCCTTCTTCAATGGCCCACTTTCAAATGGCTTGAGCAAACCATTTCAGCCTGAGCTTGTAGCTGCCTTCTGAGTGTGAGCACACACAATTACCGTGGTTTGGTTGGTGTAAGGTAACTTGTTAACTGGGGTAACCTGGTCAGGTTTCTTCTCCTCCTGACATGACAATGTTTGACACTTTTGTTTTCCTAGTCTATTAGCTTATACAGAGCAGTATTTGGAATATGATCCTTTTCTTGTGCCCCCCGATCCCTCAAACCCTTGGATATCAGATGACACCACTTTCTGGGAACTGGAGGCAAGGTATACAATTTTATTTCTTCTTTGAAAGTAAGGGAGAATAACATATTTTTCTGGAAATGTGAAGATTTCAGACAGAGGTACTGCAGGAAAATACTGAGGCAGAAGGGCAATGCAGTAGCCTTTTGGTCTTTCCAGTTTTACACTTTTGTAAGATGGGCAGTCCTATAGATTAATAAATCTGTGTGAAATCCTACAGTAACCAGTTTCCAGGCTTCTAGTATGGTGAAAAACAAAAAAGACAGCTTTTAAAATCTGATAACATTCCTAGTTCGAAATCTTTATTTTTATGTGTATTACCTTCAACTTATGTAAGTACTAACAGTCTGTTTGCTTATTGCTGAATATTGCACAGATGTAAGCACTCTAAAAGGTGAGAAAACCATGGAACTTTAGGCCTTAGTGTAAATCATGAACACAGATTGTTAGAACACTGAAGTATTGCTCACTTCAAGTTCTGTTGTTTTTTCTTCTGTAGCAAAGAGCCAGGACAGCAGAGGGTGAAACGATGGGGATTTGGCATGGATGAAGCTTTGAAAGACCCTGTGGGAAGAGAGCAGTTTCTGAAATTCTTAGAGTCAGAATTCAGTTCAGAAAATTTAAGGTAAATGCAAGTTACTTTATTTTTTAATAGCTTGTAAGTTAAATGGGGTTTTTGCTTTGTTGTTTTGGGATTTTTTTTCCTGATACTTTTCATCTTTTGAGCCCTTCAGAAATTTTCCTCACCTTTCAGAACTACTTCATCCAGATTGCAGCCCATTTTCATGTATAGGCTGAGGGAAATATTCATATAGTTAACAGAGACTCACATTAAGCATATTTTTCCATTCATATTTAACTTTTGGTCAAACTACTCATATAAGAGCTTTTCTCTCAGCATGTTTTTTAAGCAGGTATAAAACTGACTCATCCAAAGCCTGTTCAATATATTTTATTTAGTAAAATATTATGAGAAAAGTAAAATTAAAATTAAAAAGTTTTAAAAATAAATAAAGGATCTAAACGTAAAATTCAGAGTTTCATCAGGTTGATTGGTTTCTGGGGATAATTTTGAAACTCTCCACCAATATTCTATTACTTGTGCATCTGACACAGCTGAAGTAGGGTAACATCTAGCTCTCAAATTTCTCATTAATTGAAAAATGGAATATTTTTCCTAGTGTATAAAGCACATAGGGTATGTTTTTAAAAGTATATTTACAGAATTACTTTTAAGTGAGGGGAAAAATGATTTGATTTTAAAAATTATAGTCTATTCATTGGTTAATACCATGCTTTCTTTGTGCTGTTCTAAGAAAGTCATATTACAGTAAGAGTTATTTCAGAGAGATTAATAATAGCCTTTCTACAGACAGACAAATTAAGCTGAGCATAATACAAAAATATAGGCAACATGTTTTTCTCTTAATTCCACCTTCTTGTCAGATGTCATCTGTATCACTTTCCATTCATCAATAACATAAGTAGCATAAAATCCTATTTGCATTTACATTCTAGAACTCAGAATAATCCTAACCTACTTTTTTCCTATGCCAATTCTCACTCTAAAGTGGTGCAGCATAGCCATTCATACTAAAATGATGCTTTTGTAGCATCTTACAAGAGGCATTTAATATTTATGATGTTGATTTATAAATGCCGAGTAATTGCACAGATATCCTTCTTGTTAGTTCAAATTTGTCAGCAGAATAATTGGAGTTCTCTAACTTGCTGACCATGTTCATATTCAAACATTAACTTTGCATCACAAATACAGCCTGACCTGTATGTATATGTTGATGACTTTATTTGTCACAGATACAGATTTTTCTTATTAAAAACTCCAATTGGTGAAATGAATTTTAAAAAATCAGAATACCAAGAAAAAGAAAGGTAATAATAATTTTAAAAAATAATTATTATTTAAAGAGCATCCTGGTGATTTGTTATTCAGAGCAGCTGTTCAAACATGAAGCTATTGAGCCCAGTGTGTGCTGCAGTTTTTGGTGCTTTTCTGTGATTAATTTCTCTCTCTGCCAACTGGACTGTTACCCACATAATCCCTAACTCTTTCATCTAATCCTATTTACAACACTAAATACAGGCAAACTGCAAGTAACTGATCTAGAAAAATTCCCTCAAGAAATTTCTTCAGAGATGATTCCTTGACATACTATCTACTCTTTTGTCTCTTCCTCTAAATTCTTAAATTGGCATTATAAAATATAATAGCTGAGTAACAGTGAATATGATCTTAAAGGCCAGGTAGGGGATAAATTTGCTCTGAAAAGGTGCTTTCTGTGATAATTAACTGCAGGGTAACTGTCTCAGAAGCTCAGAATTATGTTTGTAAATTCCCAAACTGTAGGGAAATCAGTCCATTAGGTTCACATAGTAAATTTGGGTTAGAAAACATGAATTTGTAAAGCTTGTTGTGTATAGCTGTCAAAATGTTTTAGATGTCAATAACAAAAGTTAAAAGGTTGATGATTTCAAGCATTACCACTAAATAAACCTTCGGAGGTGATCAGTTTTGTTGTTCACCCATTAACTCCATCATGGTAATTTGGGGTTTTTAGTGGTATTTTTTTAATGATTATTTTGACAGCCACCTTGAGAAAAATAATTATGTACACCCACATCTTCCCACTGCAAAAAATTGAACTCAAATCAGTTGCTGGTTCTTGTCCTTTTACAGATCTAATAATGATAAAATGTACAAAACTGCCAAGCCTATAGCTGGGTAGGCAGCTGGGACCCTGCTTTTGAGCTTTCAAGCCAAGTACACAGGATACAGCAGGGACTGCAGGCATGACAGGAGCTTCACTATTAGTAGATTAGATGTCCTATACCTCATTTTGGTGAAACAAATACCAAAACCATGAAATAAGTCTACCAGATACACCATTTCTATTCAAGCGTCATGATCTTACATAGCAAAAATTCCCAGTGTTACCGTCACATTAACTTTGACTGAGAGTGTCTAAGGTATCTGAGAATATCATTCTTGGTGGATACAGATCCTGTCTTAAAGAATGCAGCAGGGATGAAGGAACTTGAGCTGTCATTTAATACTAAGAATTGTGCAGTGATCAGGAATATAAGCAGGTTTCCTCTTCTTACTTTGTATCTCTGTGCTTTTTCCTTTGCCCGTTTATGGGGCTTAACAGTATTTTACTCTCTGAAGAAGTGTTCAAAAGCATAGCAAAGGAATAAAACTGTCTAAGCAGTTCTGTCAGTGCAGCACCTTCATTACAGTGTGACTGCAGTTTGGAGGTTGGATTCTGCACTCACCTAATGCAGGGTATGATCTCTTGTGATCTCTTGTTACCATGCAGAATTTTTTAAGAACTGCTTTGTGTGCTGCTCAATACATAGAACAAATACCTAAAGTAACATATGATTTGGATAATAGATTTATGAAATTCCCAATGCCTATTACAAAAATGGTGACCATTGTTTAAAATTCACAAGACTGAAGTTTGAGCATGATCCAGTGCTATTGAGCTTGGTCACAAGGTTTTCCAAGTACTAAAAAAAATGTACTTTTCAAAGAGAGTGAGTTTATGAAATGAAACTTATTGCAGCATGGCATCTGGAGACCTAATGTCTTTAATTTCTATACGGAACTGTACTCCTCTTCTTGTCCTTCCTTTGTAGTGCAACAGAATTCTTTGGAAAGTTAATATTTGTATGCTGACTATAGGTTTGCTCCCAAGTGGTTATTTTGTAGGAATTGCAGCCTGTAAAGATTAAATAATTTCAGACCAGCCAAACTGAAAACCTGTCCAAATCCTTATGCACTATTGCAGTGGGTGTGATCTCCAGTGCAGCTCAAAGACTGAAAAACCTCCTAGGTTATGAAGGGAGAGTGATGACAGGTTAGGTTCCATGATACACATAAGGAAAAGCCACTGGACCCCCTGCCCCCTTCCTTTGATGCTCATTTCTTAGGTCTGTAATGTGTGACTATAGTAGGGAAAATGGACTTTGCATTCTTGTTCTCCAGTAAAAGAAGAGAGGCACTGAGAAATTTGCTAGATTTGGATGTTTTCCCTCAATAATTTTTGTCTAACTCTGCAAGCTGACATTTTGTGAGGTGTTTATCCTTTACACTGGTGATTATGAGGCCCTGTTGTGGGTGCCAATAACTTGACCAAAATTTAATCCTCAAAGCAGAAATTGCCTGTGAATTATTTCTCGTTCAGACTCAAGCTTAAATGCCAAGTGCCAGCAATTTACCATTTCTGCAGAGTAGGTGAGAAAGAACTAGTTGTAAGATTTAATGAGTTTCTCTGTCATATTCTTGAAATGCTTCAGTTCTACTATGAAGTTGTAGTTGGCAAGAAGGTGGAATCTAGAAATCAGAGGGCAGTGTTTCCTGCCCCTGGAAAAATATTATGTGATTTTATTCACAGAGTTTGTTTAGGTTTTTATTTGCTTTTTCTGAAAATGCTGAAAGATCTGACCTCTTTCTTGTTGTGTCACATGCACTGAGTGCAAAGGTCACATAATTCCCACGTCAGTGTTTCCACAGTGACTATACCTCACACATTTCACAGAGAGCCACTGCAGCCTTTCTCTCACTCTTTGTTCCTGCAGGCTAAATTTAACTGATTAGCTTGGTCTGGAATCTGGCTGCACCTGACATTTAGGTTAGTTAACGGGACAGAAGCTGTGTTGCAGCTGTGCTATTTATCCATGAGGCTTGAAAGTAATCCAGCTGGAGGACATAATCCCCAGATATCTCCCAACATGTGTTTTATCAGTCCACGTGGCTGGATGTGCTACTGCCGTGAACTCCACACTCTCCCTCTGCCGTGTGTCTGCTGTGTGGCACAGCATGTGGCAGCCCAAATGCTGGGCTAGGGGACAGCAGCGAGGTTTACACTCAGCTCCTCAGGTCTCTGTTCAAACAGTGCTGAGCATCTGCTAGAAAGGGTCTGCATGGCAAAAGCAAACCTCCACCAACAGGAGATGCAGTTTCATCCAAGGGCAGCCAGACTGAGTTGTAGTTCCTTACACAAAGTAGCACCCAGTCAGTGTATATTATTCTGCAAAAAATGCAATTCCTCTTCTCCCCTCTCCTGCCCTTGCACATAGTTAATGTTGGAGACTGTGTGCTTTTTACTATAAGTGTCTTCACGAGGCAGAGAGCTGTAAAACCAGGACAGGGAGCTCTTTTGATTTGAGGCCTTGTGCTGAGGTCTTGCTGACTCCATTTCAACTTCATTTGTGCTATTGATTGCCATGGGATATTGGAAAATTTTATTTTTGAAAATTCAAGAGGGGGCAGACTTATTTTTGTTATTTCCTAGCTTTGAATATTTGAATTCAACTATCTGTGGGAGGAGGGCAGGCATCTTTTTTTAAAAGAAAGTAAGTTGATTAAAATCTTAAAATGTGTGTTGGTTGTGAAATAAGCACCCTAGACATAACACAGAAATCATAATTCTTCCCAGTTTTAGCGAAGTTTCTATATTTAGAGCTTCACATTTTTAGTAGTCTTTGAATGCTATTGTTAGAAGGGTAAAATTAAATTAATCTATCAAAGAGCTGGTGTTCAGCCTGTAAGAATGGGTCTATATAACCTCCCTATTCTACGCTGCAAACATAGAAGTTAAATTTATTGAAATTTATCTCCCATCTATTTCCCCATAATTGAGTATAACCTACTATATGAAAACAGTTTACTAGCAAAAGAAAATAGCATCCTAAGGATGTTTGCAGTGACTTCCAGAATTATTGACTGTGATACAATGGAACAAAAAAAGAAGTGACATCTCTGAGCTAGATCTTCAGGATGTCTGCAGGGAGAGAGAAAATGTGTGTTTACAAAGAGCATCTTTCCCTTTCATTTTTGTGTTCCTTACCTGACTTGGAGACACATGAGCAATCAGTCAATCCCAGAAGATGCACTTGAAGGGGTTAGCACTGCAGGATATGTGCTTTTAAATGCAAATATCAAAAGCAGCTTAAGGAAACCAAAGTAGGTTGCCCAAATTTGAGAGAGTGAACTGAATTAGAGTTTGTGAGCTTTGCAGTTTTAAAACTTGAGTTATCAGGCATTTCTTCTTGCTGTCAGATTCTCAAGATACATCCCCAGTCTCTGTGCAGAACTCTGTTCAATTCACACTGTAGTTCATATATAAAAGTGATGCTACCCAGAAGTTTTGAAACTAGAGTTCTGTTGACACAGATCCTCTCTGTGGCCTTGGAGAAACCACTGTACATTATTACATTTTTAATGTATTTGCAAAACTGGGACAATATTGCTTCTCTGTCTCTTGGAGAATCTTAGATGAAAAAAAGTGCTTATGCACTGTTGAAATTGAAGGTTGTAGAAATACCTAAAATAGTCTTCTTGGTAGTATGAAGCTGACCATACTGGCCTGTGGAAAATGAACACAGGCTCCTTCTATGTGCTACAAAGAAATTTCAAAATAGGACTATAAAGGAATAATTGCTTCTTGAAAGGTAAATTTTCTCAAGTGAAGAATATCTTATAGCAGGAATACTGTAAGGTTTGCTATGTTTTACTATCTCCTCTTAAGTGTTTGCAATTATTAAATTAGAATTTGGACCGAGGGGGATGTCATTTTGCTTTCTTGGGGTTCTGAGTACAGTTTCACTGTTCTCTCCTATCCCATCCTTGTTGAACTGAGCTAAGAGAGCTTAAGTTGATCTCACAGTGTAAGCAGGGTGCAACCACATTTTAAAGGTACATCCAATCTATTTGTGATCCTTGGAAAATCCAACTGATTTCAAAGTTAAGTAACTTCAAGGCTCAGCTTATCTGTTTTGTAGGATCAGCTGTGTCAGAGCAAAGATGAAAAGTTGCAATGGTATATATTGCATGTTTACCAAAGTCAAACTTTTTTTGAGCTCTTGGATTTTGGGGAGAACTAAGTGGTCTAAGAATGGGATCCTAAATTAATTTAGGATTATTTTGTGCCAAGAGAAAGTCTGAACATTAGTAGAAGAAATAATTAAATAGAGTTTACAGCTAGTTAGCTGTAATCATAAAGTGCTCAAGACCTTTTTAGTGATCTTGCTCCAGGCTGAATGAGGAGACAGTGAACTGGCTGCACTACATATGGCTGCCCAATGTGGGTTTGGTCAGCAGCAAAAGAGAGAATATGTAATTCCATTCAGCAGCTTCAGCAAAAATATGCATATAAATGGAATGCTGAAAAGATAAATTAAATTACAATTAGCAAAACAAATGCTTTTCCACTGTATGCATGATTTGTGGGTAACAAAATTAGAGTTACACAGTTTAGGATTTAGTAGGACTCAAATTCATGTAGATAGCAAAAATATAAATTATTAGTTTTTGAAGGAATGTCAAAAAGCAGTCAGCTTATAAGTAATATAAGCCCTTGTGGTTCAGCCAAAATGAAGTCTGAGTTTAATTCCAGCTAAACCTGGAATCTTCCCATAAGTATGTTACCCATACATAAGTAATGAAGGACTTCCTATCCATCCCAGGAAGAGCCTTCTAATAATTGCTTCTAATAATCCCTAGGTGGATTGATTGCCTTGAGACAGTATACCAGAATCCTGATCCCAACATAAAATCTCTCAGCTTTTTCTTACTTTAGCTTGTCTAGATGAAAACTTCAGTATTTCTTATTAAGAGCAAGGAAGAATGTGGACACTTCATTAGTGGTTATCCTGAGCTGGGAGTCAAGATGCTGTGTTGTGCCATAGGTTCTGGTTGGCAGTAGAAGACCTGAAGAAGAGGCCTATCCGTGAAGTTCCCGCTCGCGTCCAAGAAATCTGGCAAGAATTTCTTGCTCCGGGTGCACCCAGCGCTATCAACCTAGATTCAAAAAGTTATGACAAAACCACTCAGAATGTGAAGGAACCTGGAAGATACACGTTTGAAGATGCTCAGGTCAGTTTGCAATCGTGTTTGTGGACATTTGAAATGGAATATTGGCTAGTGAAATCTCTGTACAAAAATGAGATGTATTTGGGAATTAAATGATAATGCCCTGTTTCCTAAAATGCCATTTTGGCAATGCAAATGTGTAGCATTCTTTTATGAGGCATATGAAGTTCTTGATGAAACTTCTGTGCTTGATATAGAGTTTTCAAGTGGACTGTCAAGAGAGGAAAGAATGTAGTGAAGAAAAAATGAAGTACTTCTGTATTAAATGCAGCACTTCATGTGACTTATAACTTAATATTTAATCTTTGAAGACTTCTGAGAAAAGGAATAGAAAATAATTGGATTCACAGTAAAAGTATCAGAACTGGTATCATCCTCCATTTTCATCAGCAGCCCAGTGATGAAGATTTAATTATTAATGCAAAGTGAAATGGTGTCAAAAGGAGAGATTGAGATCATATCCTGCAGAAATTTCTACAGCTTGATTATTAGGTCATCATCTTGGGAGTCTGGAGATGCTCCATCATCCCCATGAAGGAGAGAAAGGAATTGAATTGAGGCTTTCTACTTTTTGGGAGAATGCCTCTGCCCTAAATATGAGGGGGAATAGTTTTACCTCCTTGTAATTTTTCCATTATGAGAGTAGCAACCTATGAAGAAACAATAAAATTTTCATTAGACCCTATGTCATAGCCACTGTTTTAAAGTACTCTGCATTAAACCAAACATATAATTTTTGCTTACATCTGCTGACCCCTGGAGATTTAAGAATGCAGTGTATAGCAAAGACAAAAATGGAAAAAGTAAACAAGAGAGCAAGGTTAAAGGTTTAAAAAAATGTCTTTGCAGTTGAGCGAGTAATGGACATACTTGCCAGTATCCCTTTTCTTTTTCCTTCAGTAATAAGTGTAAAATTTCAATACCCTTTTACTGCCAGATCTCTCTTCTTGTAATTTTGTCCTTCATTTATAAAAAACATGGAGTATTCGGTATTTATACAAGCAGGACTTTGCCACCGGGAGAGGACCTCTGCTTAGTTCATCCAATTCTGCAAAAAGCCTTAAACCAGTAAACCTCAGTTTCTCTGGAAAAGGGACAGGCTGCACCTGCTGTGTTCTCACTTGAAGCTTTAGGAGCTTTAAAGTGTCCCATCTGAGGTGGAGGGTTTTGTCAGGAGTAGGGCTCTGTCTCTGCAACAGGATTTTTTTGGCCTTCCAGCTGGGAAGGAGATCGTTGGTGTGCCATTCTGGCAGTTGGTGGGTCATTTAATTGTGGTTAAAAATGTATGAAAAGCATTTTGGGACTGGAAATACAGAAAGATGAAACTCCATGTCAAATACAGACACATAATTAAAATGGGACACGTAAGTAAAAATAGCCCGATTGTGCTAAATATGTGCATTAACATATCCTGGCTAATGTGTACATTAACAATACTAATACAGCCCAATTTATTCTTGCTTTTACAGGCATATTTCTTGTACAGAAATAAAATTTTAATGCCCATCATCACTTTCTTCTCTCTGTTGACTGTACTGTCTGTTTTCACAGACACTGAGTGAAAAAAAGCCTTCCCCAAATAAACCAGTCTAAGTTCTGAATATACATCAGAATTGCTCTGCTTAGTGTAACAAATACAATCAAAGACATTTAGAATAATTTTTACGGTTTCTAATACAGCAAAAATTAAATATCAATTCTAATTTTACCTTGCATTAATTTTCAGACAAGGGGGGGAGTTTTTTTAGGAGGGTTTTTTGCCTGTTTGTTTTGGTTTTTTTATGCACTACCAAGCTGAGAAACAGTATTTTCTTTCCAGCTTGCTTACAGTATCCCCAGTACTGTACTACATGTTTCCTACAGTAAAAAATACAATTTGAGTAAAAGAAAAACTAAACTGCTCTTGTAATTTATTTTCTGAATAAAGGTTTCCAAATTTTCATATGCCTCTGAAGAGTTGATATCTAGAAAATTAGAGTAGCCTGGAACTGTTTTTCAATTTACATATGTGTTTTCCTTTTTATGTTGTTAGCTGGAGAGCAGACTAAACATCTGTCAAAGGATGTTTTCAAGAGTAGCCAGGGGAAATCCTCACTAACCTAGGCATTATTTGTGGTGCTGAACTGAAAACCTAGTACCACATCCTAGTCTCTGAAATCACAAGAATATCCCTAAAAACATCAGAAAATCTGATGAGAAAGGACCCACAGCTCTCAATTTCATCATTTAGCTAAACTGTCTAATGTAAGGGAGGTTTGAAGTTAGACCTGAACCTAGGACTCAGTTGTGAATTCTTAGAAAATAATTTTGTACTGGAAAATTTGGTCTATAAATTAAAGAAAGGTATGTTGTGTAATTATACATAAGAAATGGGTGGGATTTCTGCTTTAAGAATAGAAAGCAATTAAGCCTTAGCTTCAGAGCTGAAACCTGCTATCCTGTAATACTTCCTATTCATAGCAGTGCTAGCTGGTGTGCATTCCACAGCCAGAACACGTGGCTGCCTCCCATTTTACATGTGTCCTCTTCCGTGGGAGTAACAGCTCCTCCTTTCCTTTTCAGGAGCACATTTACAAACTGATGAAAAGTGATTCTTATCCTCGTTTTATACGATCCAGTGCCTACCAGGAGCTGCTACAGGCCAAGAAAAAGGTATTGGTCCATCTTGCCTTTGTCTTGCCACTGTGCAAAGCAGTGGTTATGTTTGCAACAATACTCAGTCTTCTCTCCCCTGTGCCAGTGCAACTGGATATCTGGTAGGTGACCAGCTTGGAGTTTTTGGAGGGTCACATACACACAGGAGTTCAATATACATATATGTGTATATATCCTGCATGCGGGCATGTTTCAATAAGTTAATCTAGCAAAACTTATTTTTATTTTTACATCCCATATTGTACTGTTTTCTCTGTTATGAAGCACCTTAAATTGCAAAGTGCTTTACAAATACATTAAAAAAAATAAAATAAAATCCCAGAATAGTCTTTCATGTTTGCAAGTTTGCTTATGTAATAATTGTTGTTCTCTTTATTCCACCTATGAAAGCTACAGAATGTGTTTAGAAACAATCCTATTCATATGAATAGCTTCTAACTTCAACTATAAATATAGGGGCTTCCTAATTTTGTTTCTTTCCCTATTACTATATGAATAGTTTTGAGCAGGCTAGGAATCTGACTTGAAAGACTGATCATGTCACACTTTGGCAAACAGAGGTTCATGTCTTGGTATGTAATATTTTCTTAGAAAAGTCCAGAATATGGAATGGGTTCTGAATAGCCACAGCCCAGAGTATGTGGAGCAGCTTGTGCAATGCAGATTTCCATGATGATAAATAATTCTATTAGTGGGCTCTAAACAGTAATCTCCTAGAATCAGCTGGGAGCCCTGTGCCTTGCAAAATCAGGACCCCAATTGTTACTGAAACAAGGTAGTTATTAACACCATAGCATTCTATTGTTAATAATGACAACCTAAAATTATATGAAAGTACTGTGTGATTTTGTTTTTTGTTCAAACATTGATTTCTGAAGATCCAATATAGAGAGAGATGTTGAAAATACCAGAAAGCTTCAACTGTCCGTGTGAAGTCCTTAAGTTTGTGAATGTCAGTTCATTAACACAAGATGTGCACTTCATTATTTCTTTTTACTTTCAGTTTTTCTTTAAATTCAAACCAATTTGATCCCCATGAAAAATTATTTTTGTCGAGTACTATATCTGTTTTGCCCATCCCCTGTTTTGCCAAGTCCCATTACAGCCACATACCTGTGTTTGCTTCCTGATTTATACAAACTTTGTTTTGCAGTCCATTGTTACATCAAACCTTCTTTTCTACTCCATTGTTCTTGCTTTTCTTTCCCCCCTCCTTTTTCTTTTTGTTTCTTTTGTTTTATTTATTTCAAATTTAAGTTGGAAAACACTCTGGATCGTCGAACATCTTTTGAGAAATTCACACGCAATGTGGTAAGTTTGTTGCCTCGGAAGACTAGTAAGCCTGATGGGACATCCTTCTCCCCTTCCCCTCACTGATCCCTACTTTCCCTTTTGCTTCTCTAACTTGATGGTTAAACGTGTATTCATCACAGCTTGTGAATTTTCCTGGGAATGACAGCTTTATAATGTGCTTTCATTACAACCCCTCCTCCCTAGTCCCTTTCCCACTGATCTCAATAGTCACACGTGGAGGAATGGACCTTTGGGAACTATGCTTTTTGCATTAGGAAGCATGAAATTAGTCACTTCCCCCCTATAATTTTAGTAAAGAATCTGTGAAAACATGCTTGATGTTGTTTCTTTTTCTGATGCCTTCTAAAATACTAAGTCTAAAACAGCTAAATGCATTGGATTTCCATCCTGTATTCTTTTAATTTTATTTAAAAATACTTTGTCCCCCTTTTTTCAATTGGGCACAGGGAAAAAAACCACACTAATAATTTTCCCATCTTCCTTAATGTCTAACGGTTTCTACAGGACCAAAGATTCATGCTGTTTATGTGCAAGGGCTTGATTTGCATTAATTTTCTTTATGGACGACAAGAACTGATTTTTTTCTTTTCAATGCATAACTTTAGAAAGCTATTTCTCAAAGGCAAAAAAATGAAGGCCGGTAGATTTTGTGTGGGCATTCTTTTCCACCTGCCAAAAGATCCACTGATTTCGTGATACTCGTGATTCTTTTTACTTATCCACTTTCTTTGAGATTTTTTTTTTTTTTACATTGTGAGAGTTCCAACTAAAGAATTCAACGCATTTATTTTTGTAGGGCAGAAACATCCCTATTTTTCCATGCCATAAAAACTGTACACCAACACTGAGGGCGAGCACTAACCTGTTATGAAAAGAGGTAGAAAGATCTTGGATTATACTCGAGTTCGTCTGCATTGTCTGTTGAATTGTGCAGGTGACGCTGCTGTGTGTGTGTGTGCGTCTGTGGCTTTTTCTGTGATCTGGTTAGTGGAGCTGTGTGTGTTGAAATGAACAATATGAGAGCTTTCAGCAAAGATCATGGTTTTTGTTTTTTTAGTTTCAAGGGAAGGAGAAGCAGTTGTCAGAGACTGTCTCTCCTGTAATGAGGCTCGAGACTGTTGCCTCAATTGTTTAAGAAATACATATATATCTTCCAGTAATAAAAAAAACAAACAACAACAAAAACCAACCAAACAAAAAAACCCAAACAAACACAGTGAAAGTTTTGTGAGGCTGTGGGAATATCTCACTTTTGAAAACAAAACAGTAATTCTTTAACTACTTTCTTATAGGTAAAGGCTTCCTCTAATATGCTTTGAATCCACTGTAATCAGGAAGAAATTTGGATTCAATGGGACAAAGTCAGTAAAGGACACCAAAAGTAAATAAACAGCCACAAAGGAAACTATCCCAATGTTTGAAACAAAAACCCCTATGTTTTGCATGGTGGTGTTGCCATAGCATGTTGCAGTGTGATTTGTGTGTTGTCTGAACAGGTTGGATCTGTAAAACAACATTATACATGATAGCACTATACTTGATAATTCCATTACAATTCAGTAGAAGTTCCATACTAAAAAAAAGTCTGTAATTACAAAGAGAGTGCATAGACTGGGTAACATGTTGGAGACCTCTGAGAGCCAGACTTTTTCCCAGTTACAGTGCCTGGCAAGCTGCAATGTTACTTTTATTCATGGCATTTTGAGCAGCCCAGGGGTCAGAAATTGGCTGTGGTAAACATTATGCAAACAGGTGGCCATGAGGGAGGAAATAGCAAGCTGCAGGTAGAGGGGTTGTGAATACAGAGCAAAAAAAGGAAAATGTGAAGACAAGACTGGGAGATGCTGAAATCCCTCAGCCTTATGGATAAACCAGCAGTTCTGGGCACAAACACTGAAGCATTGTGCCCTGCAGCCCTGCCTGAGTTTCATCCTTTCTAATCTTAGGGCAGAAGTATCAGAATAGCAGCATGCCAGAGATGGAAGGCAGGCCCAATAAACCAGCTGTGAACTAGAAATGGAAAAGAGGATTTCTGGACATTAGTAGTTTGATAGAAGAGGGGGATTTTTTTTTTTTTTTTTCTTTTTCACAGAGCAAACTCGGAAATAAAATCTGTGGTTTTGCTTTTTTTCCAACTACTACCTGTTAACCTGGGTGGAGTCTGTCAAGTCGGGTCAGGTATGAAAGAAAAACATGTCACTGTTAGATTTATAATCTCTATTAGACTCACAGCTCTGAGGCTTGTAAATGAATGCAGAATATCATGATGCTCAAATGCAACCTTTTTTCCAAGATGACGGAATTAATGTCACCCACTTCCTCAGGACCTCTTTCCACCAGACATCCTTGTTCTTCCACTTTTGTTCTTGGTTGTGATGAGTTTACAATATGTAATTATCTGTCTTGGTACAGTGGTTCCAACCAGCAGGGATGAGGGAAACATTTCTCAGAATATTCTACAGTGTACTGATTAACTTGATCAACTGTGAAGTGAGGGACTGTGGAATAGATCTGTTGTACTGATTAATACTGAAGATAGGTGTGAAAAGGGTCTTCTACAATCTAAATAAATGCTATCATCTCTGACTTAGTGAGATGAAAATTACTGTTTCTCTTCTCTGAGGTTTGAAATATTTAGACTAATTTTCACCAGATTTTTTCCTCAGTTATATCCAAGTGGGTTTGTATTAAACTAAATTAGACCTCGGTTTTTCTCCATTTGAAGTGTTTAATAAAAACCCAGTAACGCTGGCTGTGTCTAGGGACTCAGTCTGAACAGATGGACTTGTAATTCATTATCTGATTTGTTGACTCTAAGAGGCTCCTGATCAATGTTAAATGAAATTGGGTTATCCTTGCTACAGAAATAATTTGTTAAACTAGAAAGTTTAGAAACTTTGTAGAGGGCAATTACTCTATACTATTTCATTAATTACATGGAAATAACCTATTGTAATGAGTCATTATTTTAGTCTGATGGAAAAAACAGAAATGGAGCTATGCACTAGGCTCAGCTCTGCACTTCTTTGACATTGAAGGGTTTTCTTTCCAGAAAATTTTCAGTAAGTTGGTGCAGTTCATGAAGGCCCTAAATGCTCAGTTTAAGAACTGCCTAATTAGCTGCTCTGTAGATTTTCTAGTACAAAATTGCTAATGCCTTCAGCAGTCTGAAGCAGAAAATATGGATAGTGTTAGGTCTTCATTCACATAAAGTATCCAGAAGTAGCAGCAAGCTGGCATTTGCTATATGTAATATTTATTACTGAACACTTTATAGTTTGCATCTGAGTAGTAGCCCCAGGTATCCTTGGTCTGCCTCACTTAGACTCCCGGGTACTGTGTGAAAATACACTTCAGCACTACTGGAACGAAGCCATCAGATAAGTGACTAGCCTTGGACTAACACGGGCAGCCGTGCCTGTCCCAGCTTTGAGTCAGAGGCACAGAGAGCAGTGACACTGTGCTCTGGGCTCCCCCCTGCCTAGCTCAGCCCCTCAGCTTTCTCTTTGAGAATGATAGAAGTCCAGTCACCTGCAGCTCCCCAAGGGACTAGGGAAGTTAAAAATTGGAGTCATGCAGCAGGAGGATCTCATTGCATGCTAAAGCAGTAGAGAGACTGAAATCAGCAGTTTCTGTGGCATTTAAAAACTGAAATTCTTTTGAAGAATTCACATGGGGAAAAA